CAATGACAATTAAAGGCTGGAAAAAGTTAAATATTCCAATATTGACACTGGTAGGATTTGCACATGTGTCTGTGTGTACAAATAGTAAAACTGCCAATCTTACACTGTACATGCTTAAATCATGTGGGCCACGTCTATATGGAAAGAATTGGATATGGGTCCTTCGCTTGCCTGAGAGCCTCAACAGTGAAGTTCATCTTATTGGAGTTGATCATGCTCAGTGGATTGAGAAGATGAAGATCAAATATGCCCCTGTGTTTGAAGATAGTATGGGAAAAGTTAAGAACAAAAAAGGTTTAGTTACAATTAAGACCTGGAGCTTGGCCAAAGTTTTGCAAGCCTGTGCCTTTAAAGCTCCAACCCTTAAATCATTTGCTTTGAGGGCAGTAGTTGATGCTGAGCTGAGGAGGTAAGAGGAGTTAAAGATTAAATCTCCAGTTCGTCCATAGGCGTGCGCAGCCTATTGCATTAGGGTGTGCACCCTAAAGCACAAACACACGCCGCATGTGTGTGTGTGTATATATATATATATATATATATATATATATATATATATACACACACACACACACACACACACACACACACACACACACACACACACACACACAGCTGTGTGTGCTGTTAGTGTGCTGTGTGAGGGTGTTGTGTGCTGTTAGTGTGATGTGTGTGTGAGGGTGCTGTTAGTGTGATGTGAGGGTGTTTGTGTGTGTGTTTGTGACTGTGCTGTTTGTGCGTGAGGGTGTGTGTGTTTGTCCTGTGAGGGTGCTGTTTGTGTGAGTGTTGTGTATTTGTGAAGGTGCTGTTAGTGTGCTGTGTGTGAGGGTGTTGTGTTTTTTTTAAAGGTGCTGTGTGTGTTTGTGAGGGTGTGGTTAGTGTACTGTGTGTGTGAGCTGTATGTTTGGAGGGATTGTGGAGGTGGGGGCAGATTAGTAAATCCTTGCTGCCGTGTGCCATCCCTGGTGGTCCAGTGGTCCTGCGGGGCTAGAGTTAACTCTCGCGAGATCTGAGCTTTGCCTCGGCAACGCTCAGATATCGCGAGAGGAACCTGGCAGAGCTTCTGTCTAGAGCTCCCAGGGTCCTCTCCTGCCTCCCTCCATGCTGCTGTGGGCCGGTGAGGTAGATCTTTGGTCTCCCCGCCGGCCCATGAAGGCTTAGAGCAGAGCCGGCGCTATCTGAGTGAGCCGACAGGGGAGATTGGATTCCCACCCCCCCAAAAAAATAATATACACGTGTGTGCGCGCATATATATATATATATATATATATATATATATATATATATATATATATATATATATATATATATATATATATATATACATACATACATACATATACATATACATATATACATATACATATACATACATACATACATACATACACACACACACACACACACACACATATACACATATATACACACACACACACACATACACATTATTATATTTTAATAATACAATGTCCACCCAGCCTCCCTACCTGGAGTGCTGGCATGGACTTTTCCCTGGGGTCCAGTGGGGTGGGCGCCTCTCTGCATCTCAGCCGCGGCAAGGGAGCTGTCTGCTCTCTGCTTCCTCTCGCCACGCGGGTTGTCTGTTGTAGCTGGGAGCTGGAATATGACGTCATATTCCGGCTCCCGGCATCAGCGCGCGTCGAGAGGAAGCAGAGAGCAGACAGTTCCCTCATCACCTCTTGCCTTCCCCATGACAGGGGCAAGAGGTGAGACAGGGGGCGCTGAGTGCCTGCAGGACTCAAACCATAGGCGTGCCACGGGGATTAGGGTGTGCCTATGAGTTCGTCGTAGTTAGTTAACTCCTCTGATTTTACTCGTACAGAAGAAAGATGGATAGATTTGAATATGTTGAGACTTTAATATATTGTTGAATGAACAATTATCAGTGAATAAGTATCCTTTAACAAGGACGGAAGAGATTTTTGCTAACTTAGCTGGAGGTATAGTCTACATACTGCTGATGACAAAGTCAAGATCCTGCAAAAAGCTCCTGTAAACACAAAATGAATCATAGATGAGATAATAAAGAGAAACCTTGGGATTAGCAACAACTCCAAGGGAAAAAACATGCTACAGCTTGATGCAAGAAATCAATCAAAAATAAATATATAAGCAGTATAATTATCATATCTGAAATCCTAATGCTGCCTTCAACTGGAAATAGCCTCAATATTTCTGTATATAAAGATGCATAAAAAGTAAAAGAAAGCACAAAACGCTGGATATCATGTAAGATATAAATTATTTTAATGGAAATGACAAAAAAAAAATAAAAAAAATATAATATATATATATATATATATATATATATATAAAAACAATAGATGTATGTATACAAATGTCAGTGTTGATATGGAGGATAAATAATGGCTTATACCTAAAAAAATATTATTTTCCCTATAGGTATATGCAAAAATAAAATAAAATGTGCATAGAGGAAGAAGTGATAAAAATAACCTGATTCTAGTAGCTGGAGTGCACTCCTGCTTGGCCCGGTTTGAGGATAAATGTAGGTGTGTTATATCCTCTTAGTTGTAAAGATCCTGCAAAATGATTACAGATATTCCTCAGTTGCAGGAGATGGCACAGGAAGAAGGCAAAAACCAAAAGCACAGTACAGATAAAGGGGAAATCCAAAGGCAGGGTAAGACGAGAAGCAGAAGTCAGGGCTGGCAGAAGAGTAACGTAGTCGGTAAAGCAGGCAGAGTCCAGGAATTCAGTCAGTAACAAATCAAAGATCCAGCAGGAAACACCAAACAGGCAAAATGACCAGCTACTAGGTCTCAGGCAGGGCTGGCTTTTACAGCCTGCTAATTAGGTGCAGCTGACCCTAATTGGAAAAGGGCTGCAGGTGGATCAGCACTGCATTAATCCAGGCAAGGGGTCAGGAAGCAGAAAAATGCAAACAGAAACTGAAGCCCCTTGGTGGACAGCACAGCAGAGAACCTGACTGGGATGCTGGAGCTATGAGTTCAAATTCAGCCAGGTCTCTCT